TGATGATGAGTGTGTGGCGTAACATTTTCCAAACTAAGCAACTGTAGAAATAACTCGACCCGTGCTTCCCCACCGTACTTCAACTCCTAAATTCTGTGTACTTGTTCTTTCGCTCGCTAAATCGATTAGGCAATGTTGGATGTTGTATGAATGCCAGTAGATTTCATTACAATATATTGTTGGTTCTTACTGTTTCACTTCTAGCACTAAACGATTTTATCATCACTCAGTTTTCTGTCACACAAGGCCTATTTGGATGACAGGCTAATCCCGACCACAGTTGGTTCAAGGATGCCGTGTTTGGTTTGGCCATTTAAAAAAATCAGTCTCAATATTTCATTGTTGGACTGTCTACTTCGGCAATATTAAAATATCTGACTTTTTGAGAAGCCTTGCTACAGATAATAACCTTTTCCCGCCACTCTCCCCACCGCCTACACCGCAGAAAGGGTGAATACAGGCAGCAAGAGCAGTTTTATTACTGGAGGCAAAAGTTGAAAGCAGTCGAGCGATACAGGTGGGAGGAAAAACAATTAGAGATGAGCGACATGTGCATATAGGGTGAAAGCGTTTTGGAGATCGACTACATCTAACCTTTGTTTTGTTCTGCACTGCTGCAGGTGTCGAGGGAGATAGAAGCTTCTGCATTATGCTCTTCTGGCCGTCCCGACCATATAGACACATCGTGCTGTTGTGTTTTCTCTGATGTTATCTGTTCATCCTATTCGTGGTATACCTAGTGCTCTTTATTAATCCTTTTCTAAGTGGGTAAACCACTTGTTTTTTTCAGTCTTTGTAGGTAATTTAGAATTGGTTCTGTGCTGACTTAAACTATTGGACGTAAATTTGCCTAGAGAAACCATACAACAGCCAGGGGCTGTTGGACTGCAACGTCCTGTCAAGGATACGCAACAACCTCTGTGCTGACTTGTTCTCTCATGACCTCATTCCTGATTGTAACTCCCCTGGTCACTCCTTCAGCCTTTCTCGGATACTTATTTCCATGGTTACTGATTTTCTAATCTGATTTGTTCTGAGTGACCATGTTTAGCACTGGTAGCACAGGGTGGGGAATGAATATGCTTTGTTTGAGATGTTTCTTTGCGCTGATTGGGATTGCCTTGTGTTGTTAAAAAAAAAAAAATACTTGGTTTGCTTTAGTGCATCAGATGTTAATTTCTTGATCTATAATTTACCTTTTTAGGTGAATGTTGTTCCCAGATATTTAAACACAGATGCTTGTTTTATGCCTTTGCACTCTACTGATATATTTAGGTTGTGCTTATTTCTTTCTATTAACACTACTTTTGTGTTGATTCTCATGTTTTTTGTTTTACATTCTTCATTCATGACTGTTGCAATTTAATGGATGTACCTGCTATCAAGGCTTGATTATGCCCAAAGAGTTATTCGTTGCTGTTTTTGATTTGTTCGTTATCAGATTTGGCATCTTTGCATATGTTATTTATGTGCCTAGCTGCGGTGATAAGACACACCCCTGTTTTACTCTCCATGTTACTCTATGTGAATAATTGAGATGTCCCATAATTTATTGTAACTAAGCTTTAACAATCCCTATATAAACATTTTCACACTCTGATGAGATGTTCGCTCACTCAGTATCAAGCCATCACTTCATATAATACTTTACTATCATCAAGGTCAAAAAGCTTCCTCCTGGTCTACGAATGTCACATACAGGTTCTTATCAATTCGAGATTCGTTACTAATGTTTTAGTGTGGAGACTGCAGCTGTGTACTTCTATTTCTCCATAACCCAACATATTCCTGCTTGCTTGCCAAACTATCATCATTATCATATTTCACTTCTGCCGCTATGCGGCGTTTGGAGGGGGTTTGGGGGGGGGGGGGGCAATGGCTTTTGTCATTCTGTGTGGATGCTGAAACTCTTTAATGTCATCAATTCACTTTTCTCAAAGGGCGACTTTTTGCCGTCATTTTAGATCTTTTCATGTGTCGCTGGTTGTTCTGGCTGCATTCTTACTAGATGGTCAAAGCCACGGCCAGCTCCAGATTTATAAGGCCGTACAGCTCGAACGGGAATTCCCGTTCTTGTGCAAGAATTGAGTCCCTCTGTGTCCACAGTTTTTATTGAGGAGATGTATACGCAAATTAAACTACAGTTTCATTAATTTTCAACATATTTTTTAAAACTATACGTCATTTTTAAGGTAAATAAGTGTGCTGAATAAATATAACAATAAAGACTCTTACAGACAAACAAAAATGCTTTTGCTACAGTCAACATGAACATAAACATCAATAACGTTTAGATATAAACTAAAAGTTGTTCCAGCAAAAGTAAAGAAATATTAGTGTTAACTCTTTGATTAAGAGGGTATTGTTGCATCAGAGGAGCTGGGGGGAGGGGGGGGGGGTTGGGAGGGGAGGGGAGGGGCGACATTTGTACTTTATCAAATTTAGCGCATAAAAATATTGCTATAAAAACATACTAATATCATACATAACATAAATATAAATGATTGATGGTTATTATTATTAGTAGTAGACTACTACAACATATAATTATACTGTCATTTAATAATTAGTAAACAAGCACAATCAGTATGAAATTGATATGTGCAATACTTTTTTCACCCATAGTAGTTTTCTTAACAGTACTTATAGCACTACTAAATATGTATCCTCAAGGTACAAACAGCACAAACAAATTTGTCCAGTTTCATCTTGTTGGATGAAATCAATTCCTTATCATTGCAAATTTTTTGGTAACAAATATGCATAGGAAGTGGATGAACAACCAGAAGTTTCCGCAAGAGTTTACAGCCAGTGTTCGCGAAGCAAAGCAAAAGCCAATTTACAAAAATTAACACAGACCGTACAACTGCAAATATGCAAAAGAAGTCGATGAGCATCCAAAAGTTTCCGCAAGAGTTTACAGCCAGTGTTCGTGAAGCAAAGCAAAAGCCAGTTTACAAAATTTAACACAGGCTGTACAACTGCAAATATGCAAAAGTAGTCGATGAGCAACATGAAGTTTTCGCAAGAGTTTACAACCAGTGTTCCCAAAGCAAAGCAAAAGCCAGTTTACATAATTTAACACAGGCTGTACAACTGCAAATATGCAAAAGAAGTCGATGAGCAACCAGAAGTTTCTGCAAGAGTTTACAGCCAGTGTTCGGGAAGCAAAGCAAAAGCCAGTTTACAAAAATTAACTCAGACCGTAGAACTGCAAATATGCAAAAGAAGTGGATGAACTACCAGAAGTTTCCGCAAGAGTTCACAGCCAGTATTCGCGAAGCATAAGTCAAATGGTTAAGGAATAATATTATTAGTGTACTGCTACAACATATAATTATACTGTTAGTCAACAATTAGTAAAGAGGCAAAGAGTGACTTGCTGTGAAAGGTTAGTTAGTAAATTTAATATTTTTTTCATTAACTTACCTAGAGCTCCGAAATATCTTGACACAATTTATCCACAGTGTGGTTGCACCATTTATGCACAGTCAATATAAAAGACATTAGTTTTCTTCAAACACAAGATAGTTTGCACCTGACAACTGTCGATATTCTCCAGATATGGCTTCTAAATTACCTGTTTGTATTATCCCTAAAAGTAAGATTTCTACATTTAAAGTAGAAAAGTAATAAACAGCCAGTTCTCAAAAATCCGAACACTGACTAGAAACAGTGACACTGATACACACATCACAACACGACTGTCTTCCGTAAATTAAAATTAAAATTGCTGTATATCCACTTCACAATATCCATTTGTAGATTTCAAATACGAATACGTTTGGAACACAGGACTTTGTTAGCATATTAATATGTCACACAATGCAACATGGAAACGCTCCCAGTAACCTATTTTCGAGGGGGACTCCTCCAAAATGTGCCGTGACTCAGTTGGCAGGACCAACATAAAGCCGGACGTGGTCAAGGCATATGATTTTCTATTTCTCCAAGAATTGGATGCACGGTGTTGTTCCTACAATCTGCTTGATAATATCATTTCTAGCTTTGTCTCATTTGGTTTTGTAAGTGGCTTTCTTTTTTGTTTTAAGGCATCTCATTTTGCAGGGGTTAATCTTACGTAGGTTAGTCTGTGATAATGTAGCACAGTGGTTGTATGAATATGCTGTTTATAATCTGTTTCATGGCACACATACTTATATTTGGATGTCTAAATAACGGTGTCAATTGGTACATATAAGTCTAATGACTAGTTGGCATCTTGTTTCTATTTCCCGATCTTTTCTCCCGTCCTCTGAGAACATATTTCCTAGATATTTTAATTCTTTAACTTGCTTCAGATAAGTACCATTGAAGCTGATGTGTAGCGGATTAGAAATTCTACTGGTCTGCATGACTTCAGTTTTAGTAGTATTTGTTTACATGTTGTTGTTGTTGTTGTTGTTTTTTTTTTTTTTTTTTTTTGCGAAAATAATATGATAATCATTTTTTGTTTACACCGGACAAATTATCGAAAAGTCTGAACTTGTTGGGAAACGACACAAACTAACATTGACTAGGATGCAGTGTTGTGTAGACGCCCACCTTGTTGTGGTCACATGAACAGAAAAGTTCCATTTTGAAACTAAACTAAAGCTGTATTTAATAAAAGCACTGTTGAGTTCCACGAATTCATACCAACTTTTCGGAATTCTTTTGCCTGATATAGTTTACTACTTTATAGTTATTATATTCTGTGAGACCAGATTTTAGGAGAATTTATTTCCATTCATTGCACTCAGTAGTAGTAAACTTTAAATTGTAACTCAAATAAATGCTTTAAATTAAATGCATATAATATATGCTGTGGCAGTAATTGTTTAAAGTCTGTGTTGTGCTATATTTGGCCACCTGAAACATTCTGTTATATCTGTTTGTGCCTATAAACTCTGTAAGGGTACGATGCCTTGCTGTCAAGTTGTCTGACGGACACAGGGTACACTGCCACACACTGACCGCAGAGTCTAAGATTCTGTACACCTGTAAGAGTCAAGACAGACATGGATGCAGATGGCTTACCCCTGGTAGGACCCGGCATCGACTACAATAAGGTAACACTTATCATTTAAGTTTTAGCTCAGTTCAGAAAACCAGCTTTCTTTATTTTAGTAACACTAATAATAATATTCTCGGCTTGGTGACTAAGTCGATGCGAATGCTTCCTAATGCTGGGATGCCAGGTTCGATCCCAGCTGCGGGCCATGTGTCTTGCATTGGTTTAGACAGTGGTATCAAGAAAGCTGACCGTCCGGAAAGCAATGGCAAACTAATGTACATAAATTTGCCTAGAAAAACCACACAACAACGAGGGGCTGTTGGGGTTGGTTCTGCAACGTCCTGTAAAAGGATACGCAGCTAATAATAATAATAATGTAGCTCAGTAACATTTAGGCCTATATGATAAACCAGACGCATAAAATGGGATCACCGTGGCCGAGCGGCTAGACGCTCATCCCGGATCGGAAGGTCGTGGGTTCGCTCCCTGGCGGAGCCGGACTTTAAAAAAAAATGACCTTGGCTCCCAGGTCGACCCAGCCTTGAGTGGGTACCGGGTGCAGTCCCGGGAAAGTAAAGGCAGCTGGCGTGATGCTGACCACATCACCCACCTTGTGCCGATTGGTCTAAAAAATATAGGTCTAGCCCTATATGCCCTATACGCCTAAAGGCGTGGAAAAGGGTCCTTAACTTTACTTTACTTAGAAAATAAACAAGGAGATTTACCTTTTCACTTCCAGATACCAAGGTTCAAGTAAAAATAGAAAGTTTAAGAAAATAATAAGTACCCAAATAGTTGGTATAGTCCGTTTAGATATGAGACCAAGAAATTATTGCCTAGAGTGGGCTAACTGTAAGGAGCAGAAGTTACAATGGAACAAAATGAATTAAATCAGCACTAGTAGAACAACTGAAATTAAAATGTTGCATTGATTTCTAGATTTACACAGCAGTAAGCAGAAGTTAAGCAAGTGACCTGTCTATTCTGAATGATGTATGAGTTTGAAATAATGTCAGCCTGCAATTTAATCGAAACTGAAAATTGGGTCAGCTGCAATTGTCAGTCAGCGCCAGAAATTTTATCTAAAAATGTCTGAACTGCCTCTTTTGCAACTTGTTTAAGGTTGCTGTAAAACAGTGGGGGAAAGAACTTGAGCCTGAGTATTTAGGGCCACTGTCTTATCTAGTTGTCAAGATGTTCTATCTAAGATACTTATTGTTTGAACAGAATGTGCAGACAGCATGATGCTGTTGCTAACAAAAGATAGCACTGTACAGATGTCCACTTACCCTGACTCATACTCTGTCACCAAGACCGTGGTAGCCACACTAATGCTTATTTTAGTCCACAACTACAACAGTTAGAATTTCTGCCTTCATCAAAACCGGAGGCCACAGTGGCCTTTACCATGCTCACTAGGTACCTTTGGAGGACAGATGTCTGGGACAGAAGCTGTAACATGTTGAATGTTGAATTAAGATTCAACATAATAGAACTCGGGACACTTCGATAAGCGCTCTGTCCCCATCTTCAGCAGAAAGCAAAGAGTTCCAATTCCACTAATAACTGTCTGAGTGTATATCCATCTCACCTTTCCCTTGAGTTTTGAGCGTTGGCCAGATCCCCTGGTAACTCCTTGCACCGCCTTGCACCTCCTTGCACCGCCTTGCACTGCCTTGCACCTCCTTGCACCTCAAACTGTCAAGATCTGTTTGTGTCTCCTCACTGTTCATTTGCTCCCAAAAGGCCCTCACAACATCTAGCTTGTCGTTCACCACTTAGTGGTGCAGAACCGGCCGGTCTGTCTGCCAGCTTGTTTCCCAACACACCGGCAAGACCTAAAGAAAATATGCAAAGGACTACCTGGGACCTCTGAAGTAATGCTTGCCACTCTGCACGGAGCATGCCTGTCTACACCTTTCTCAACATGCTCTGTGAGTCAGTTACAATTACCACATGTGTGTACAGCTGATTCTCAAGCCAGCAAAAGGCAGCAGTGACTGCCTCCACCTCGATTCTCAAACTAGACATGATATCATATGCCAGGCTTTACTGCACTAAACGATGTCCCTTTGCTTTTCTTATGAACCCCCATGTACTTCATCTGCCTCTCAGCACAGAGCCATCTGCATAGATAATCACATCACTTTTGCAGGAATTGGCATAAATCATTTGATAATTTCTGATTCTGCAGAACCAGCTGGCCAGTCCCTGCACTCACAACCCACAGTAATTAGAACAATACACGTCAGAAACTTGCTTGGACACTTTGACCCACTCCTCACCTCGCACAAATGTATCAGGCCTGCACGAATGTCTAATTGTGTCTTCAGCCTGCGACATCCAAGACTTACTGTTTTCGGTCTGTGACCCTTAGCTCTACCTAGAGCTTCATGCAGGAGGTGCTTCTTGTCTGCAGCTACTCTATGGCTTTATTTGCAGAATTTTAAGTCTGTCTGCAATAGTAGGCTGTGCAAGTAAATATTGCATACATACTACCTGCGTATCTTATTTACATCCCAGAATCACTCGCATGGCTTCATTCTGTATGCGTTCAAGTTTCATCAGCTGACTCTTTGATATGGTAAGCATTTCAAATCCATAATGTACCACCAACAGGATCTTATGCTGGAATATTGTGAAGAGCATAATTTGTTTGAAGTCTACTGCTGCCATAATCTTGAGAGCTTCATTCTTCAAGACTGTACTGTCCCCACAGTGTGCATGGCAGACGGGACCACAAACACTTGAGCATATTCTGCAGGTCTGCCCATTATACTTACAATCGTGGAGGAAAACCTGGCCTCAAGAGCAAAGTGTGCAGAGCAAGCTATGGGGAACCTGCAACTGACCTGCGTGTTCATAGAGGCAATCCACTGTATGGTCTGATCTTAGCATACAAAATAGAATGCAAAGAAGTAATACACTCAGTTGTTAATGTATTAACGATCATGCTGGCTGACTTTCCTTCCCATGAAATGTCCAGGTACATATGTTAAGTGGGATGACCACGGAAGCCTAGTTCAATTGTCTTTAAAATGTCCACCCAGATGCAGATCTAAACATGTCTTCCTGGCCAGCAGCTGAGCTTGCCAACAAAATCAGTTACTGATAAATGACAAACATTAATTAATTGTTGCCTTCGCAGAATAGAGGGAATTGAATGGTCTGACAGAATCACTAATGTGTAGTCTGGGAGACAACTAAACAGTTCCAGAGAATCAAGATGTAAAGTGTTCTTTGTATAATGGAATTAGTCAGCCTTTTATCACAAGCTTGTTAAGGGGCAGTTAATCTGTTCTGTCCTTGTTTCTGTCTGTCAGAATGGGTCTCATGAACCCACATAGACACATTGGGAACACCTGGGGTAACATTAGGCATATTCAGAATATCATGAGTTGTAAAGTGTTTTGTTAGATTTCAGATACATGTATTACTGTCACCGCTGTTGTTGTTGCTGGGTGTTCATGATGTTACTCTACCAACGAAATGTGTTTGTTTATTGATCTGAAAATATTAATGTCAGAAAGCTCACATCTTCTTTACCCTTTCAGGTTGACGCCATTAATCAGAAACGAACTATAGCATTTCTTAACCACTTTGTGACACACACATCACGTTTCCTGAATCATTTTGCCAATGTCTGTGAGGACAAGCTGGAGAAACTGACAGAGAGGCTGCAGCAGCTGGAGATCTCACTCAGTATACTAGAAGCCAAGGTAGTCACTCAGTATACTAGAAGCCAAGGTAGTCACTCAGTATACTAGAAGCCAAGGTAGTCACTCAGTATACTAGAAGCCAAGGTAGTCACTCAGTATACTAGAAGCCAAGGTAGTCACTCAGTATACTAGAAGCCAAGGTAGTCACTCAGTATACTAGAAGCCAAGGTAGTCACTCAGTATACTAGAAGCCAAGGTAGTCACTCAGTATACTAGAAGCCAAGGTAGTCACTCAGTATTCTAGAAGCCAAGGTAGTCACTCAGTATACTAGAAGCCAAGGTAGTCACTCAGTATACTAGAAGCCAAGGTAGTCACTCAGTATACTAGAAGCCAAGGTAGTCACTCAGTATACTAGAAGCCAAGGTAGTCACTCAGTATACTAGAAGCCAAGGTAGTCACGTTGTATACTAGAAGCCAAGGTAGACAGTATACTAGAAGCCAAGGTAGACAGTATACTAGAAGCCAAGGTAGACAGTATACTAGAAGCCAAGGTAGTCACTCAGTATACTAGAAGCCAAGGTAGTCACTCAGTATACTAGAAGCCAAGGTAGTCACTCAGTATACTAGAAGCCAAGGTAGTCACTCAGTATACTAGAAGCCAAGGTAGTCGCTCAGTGTACTAGAAGCCAAGGTAGTCACTCAGTATACTAGAAACCAAGGTAATAACTCAGTATACTAGAAGCCAAGGTAGTCACTCAGTATACTAGAAACCAAGGTAGTCACTCAGTATACTAGAAGCCAAGGTAAGTCACTCAGTATACTAGAAGCCAAGGTAGTCACTCAGTATACTAGAAGCCAAGGTAGTCACTCAGTATACTAGAAGCCAAGGTAGACAGTATACTAGAAGCCAAGGTAGACAGTATACTAGAAGCCAAGGTAGTCACTCAGTATACTAGAAGCCAAGGTAGTCACTCAGTATACTAGAAGCCAAGGTAGTCACTCAGTATACTAGAAGCCAAGGTAGTCACTCAGTATACTAGAAGCCAAGGTAGTCGCTCAGTGTACTAGAAGCCAAGGTAGTCACTCAGTATACTAGAAACCAAGGTAATAACTCAGTATACTAGAAGCCAAGGTAGTCACTCAGTATACTAGAAACCAAGGTAGTCACTCAGTATACTAGAAGCCAAGGTAAGTCACTCAGTATACTAGAAGCCAAGGTAGTCACTCAGTATACTAGAAGCCAAGGTAGTCACTCAGTGTACTAGAAGCCAAGGTAGTTAAACAGTGAGGATTCAACAAAATGCAGGATGACATATTGTTTGTTAACTTTGTCAACCCAGACAATATTGATGTGTTATCAGCTCTGTTGATGAATATGTTTTTTGAATTACAGTGTTTGATTTGTTTTCATCTTAGTAATTATTTCTTCCATGGGCATCTGCTTCAAAGTCTTTGGCACTGAACTATTTTAGGTGATAAGTTATGGATTGATATTTTGGCATTCAGGGAATTCCCATTATGTGCTTCATTCCCATATTCAGCAGCACATGCAGAGTGTAAATTCCAGTGGTACTAGTAAGTCTTATTGTATGTCCGCTTTGCCTTTTCCATGAATGATGAGCATTGGCCAGGTTCCCTAGTCACTCACTGCTGCACCATTCTTCTCAGACCACGATGACCTAGTTATGCCTCAACAGGGTGTTCGCTCACCCCCTAAGCACCTTTACAACCTCTAGCTTGTCAACCTTCCTTCAGTGTACCACCAAGTTGTGCAGAACCAGCCAGTCTGTCTCTTTGTTCCCCAACACACTGGCATGCCTGGAGAAAATATCCAAAGGACCCTAACTATGGCACTGAATGACAAGTATTTTATTCGACGTCTAATGTTTCATCCCTCACTATTTCTTCATCACTACACTCACTGTATTTTTGCGAGCAAGATTGCACACCTGGAAACACCAGGAGTTGGCAAAATATTGACATTCGTAGACAGGAAGAGGAGAGATCGGAATCAAACAGCTCAGGAGTTACAGGCAACAGTAGGTCAGGTGATCGACTGGTGTACAGAGTTAAGTGCTGTAATCAACCCAGAAAAGGCAACCATCCTGTGATGTATTGTGGACAACAAGATTGTTAGAGCTGATGTTCCCAGACTCAGAATAAATGGCAGGGACATCAAAGAAGACAGCAGACTGCGGTACCTGGGTATCATCTTTGACAGAAGTTTGTCTTTCAAGGATCGCATAGAGGGGGCTGTGACGAAGGCTCAAAAAGGTCTTAATGCACTAAAGAATATAGCAGCGATCGACATGGAGCAGAGAATGCTGTTCCTACTTTACCAGCACTTAATCATCTCAGTGACTGATTATGGATTTGGGGTGTCTCAAAGAGTCAGCTAGAGAAACTGAAGAGCATACAGACTGAAGCTATACAGTTGATCCTGGGAGGTACAAGAGACACCCCGATTGCGTGCATGCCCTACATCCTTGCATTGCCGACTATTGCTGATAGGCTAAAGGTGCTGCAGGCTAAGTCATACCTTAGAGTAGCTGCAGACAAAAAACAACCTCTGTATGAAGCTTTGGCTGCAGGTAAGGGTCAGAGGCTGAAAAGTGGAAGTCCAACAGTTGATTCACGACAATTCACCCCCAGGTGATCTATACAAATGGTTCGATGATGAGCGAAAAGAGAAGCACCAGGGGGTTCGTAATCTTTAGCACAAGACAGCCTAGCATACAACATCTAGCATGAGAATTGAGGTGGAGGTAGTAACTGCAGCTCTCCGGTGGCTTGAGAACAAGATGCATACACATGTCATAATTGTAACAGACTCTGAAAGTATGCTGAGAAAGGTGAAGACAGGGATGCTTCGAGCAGAGTGGCAAGCTTTACTAGGAAGGTCACGGGTAGTGAGCATACTTTGGATCTTTTCTTGAGGCAATGCCGGCATGGTGGGTGATGAACAGGCAGACAGATTGGCTGGATCTGCACCACTGGGTGGTGAATTGATACATGGCAAGGCAGATGTGGTCAAGCCCCTTCGGGAACAAGCAATGGATTCAGTAGAGCAAGAAGATTATTTTGGCCTGGAGAGAATGAGGCACCTAGGTGTAACCAAAAGGTCTGGCCGGCTCACTACACACAGAGGAAAGGCAAGACGGACATATAACCAGATTGTGACTGGTACCAACAGTATTGGAACTCTGCGCTGGCTGCTGAAGATGAAGACAGAACACACATTGGAATGCCTCTAGTGCTGTGATATAAATTCTTAACTCAACTACACTCACTGTTTGTTGAGGCATGTTTTATCCTACCTTGTTCACAATCCCTTTTGATGCATTTTCAGTTCATATTATTTCTTGTAGGTTCACATTATTTCATTTATGTTCACATTATTTCTTGTAGGTTCATATTATTTCTTGTAGATTCACATTATCTCTTGTAGGTTCACATTATTTCTTGTAGGTTCACATTATTTCTTGTAGGTTTACATTATTTCTTGTAGGTTCACATTATTTCTTGTAGGTTCACACTATTTCTTGTAGGTTCACATTATTTCTTGTAGGTTCACATTATTTCTTGTAGGTTCACATAATTTTTTGTAGGTTCACATTTTTTCTTGTAGGTTTACATTATTTTTTTTATAGGTGTGTATATCATCATCACCATTAACATCATCAAGAGCCTTTTCAAGTGGCATAGAGGATTGTTCATCTCCACAATCTGTGATCTTCAACAACATGTATCAGTTTGTGTGTTGACCCATCTTCTTCTTCTTCGTCTTATTTTTCTCTTCCACCTTGTACCTCATCGAAGTGTCGGGGGAGATGTAACATTTGTTGATGAGCTCTGTCAAGAGCACTATTAAGACTGATGTTCATTTCTATAAGGCTGTTCTTAATGCCATCACTCCAAGGTCTTCTACTCGCTCTAAACCCGCTGTAACGTTTTACAGGCTCGGCAAGTCGACGGAGAATTCAGCGGTTTAAAAAGAAATGCCCAAGATGAAAATTGGAGATGTTTTAGAAATAGGGAAAAATAGAGGCCAGCAGAAGGTTAAGACTAGGGTAGAGACAATCAATATATGTTGATGGGGCAATCAAGAAGAACAAGTGATAGAATGAATGGAGAAACCCACTCCGTGACATGACAAAACACTGTCAAGAATCGTCCCATGTTACCTTCCTCTGTCTCTCTTTCTATGGATCTTTCCAGCGGTCACCGCATGTTCCACTTTCCTTCTTCTCATAACATGACCAACAAATGATGACTGCCTCTTTCTGATGTTTGTGATAAGTTGTCTTCAAGCTCTTGCCTCGTTTCAAAACATCTGGACCACTTTTTTTCTGGGGTTTGGGCAGCAATTATTGTGAGCTGAATTTTTTTATCTCAACACGACAAAGATAAAACCTTCCTGAAGAAAAAGTATTGGCTGTATCGGGACATATAATATATAATAATAAAGATAAATGAGTGCAGAATAAATCTAAACTATTTAAGTATCAGTATTACAACAAAATAATAAAATCACACAATATTCAAGGATAAAGATTATTTACATAAAAAAATGTTGTGCTTACCTTACTTTGTTTACTTGTTCAACAACATTGCTATCCAATTCTAAGAATGCACATGCTTTCTCTGTTCAGTTATGTATCAGCCAGTCTTTGTTTGTTCAACAACATTGCTATCCAATTCTAAGAATGCACATGCTTTCTCTGTTCAGTTATGTATCAGCCAGTCTTTGTTTGTTCAACAACATTGCTATCCAATTCTAAGAATGCACATGCTTTCTCTGTTCAGTTATGTATCAGCTTGTCTTTATTTGAAACAATTACAATTAATTTCAATCCTTGAGATATTATGATCATTTTTGTATGACCTGTCAAATTTCACAACAACCGAAAATCGGGAAAACAGTTCATTGAAACAATGATCCGATTGAAATATTTTGTTCAATGTCCATATCCTAAGCTGAATTATCACTGATAGGTTTGTCACTCAGATATCAATCATAATATCAAGACTTGTGTCACCATCTGGCAGAGATTCATCGACAGAGCAGTATGAACAGTTCTAGACCGTTTCCCTTATCATTTAGTATAGAAAAATCACGTAAAGATTTTATCACATCTAAATAATTTTTATTTATCAGAAAATGACGCAAAAGCCGTGCAGAACATTGCAAACGAAAGGACTTCCTATTGTTAATCTTAATTTTTCCAAAAAATGTTCATAAAAGTTCATTTTCCCCTCAAATGGAGCAAAATTAGAGTGTCTGTGACAGGCCAGTTACCTGGCGACTAGTCCGATAGGGATCAATTCTAAAGCCAGTTAACTGGCGAATAGTCTTCAAAGAGTTAAATAGCTCATGACCCTCTTAGAATTCCTGAAAATAATTGTAAAAACAGCTACTTTTAAACAGGTGACTAACTTTGGGTAAAAAAAAATTTTTTTTTAAACCTTTGTTGCAGCTTTCTTCCATTCCTGGTTTGGAGTCTGTGACAGCACCTTCTACTAGCAGTTCAGTGGTGACGTCTGATGTGGCAGCCACCAGTAACTTACCTTCATCAGCATCAGCAGCTCCACCACAAACACTTGCCCCTGTAGCAGCCAGTCCTGCCCAGGTGCAGCCTGTAAGTTGTCATGAGTTTGTAGATTCAGAGTTCTTGAATACACATTACACTGTATGTTACCTGCAAGTTGTGGTATGTGTGTAGATTCAGAGTTCTTGATTACACATTACACTGTATGTTACCTGCAGGTTGTGGTATTTGTGTTGATTCAGAGGTCTTGATTACACATTACACTGTATGTTACCTGCAAGTTGTGGTATGTGTGTAGATTCAGAGTTGTTGAATACATATTACACTGTATGTTACCTGCAAGTTGTGGTATGTGTGTAGATTCAGAGTTGTTGAATACATATTACACTGTATGTTACCTGCAAGTTGTGGTATGTGTGTAGATTCAGAGTTGTTGAATACATATTAAACTGTATGTTACCTGCAAGTTGTGGCATATATGTAGTTTCAGAGTTCTTGAATACATATTACACTGTATGTTACCTGCAGGTTGTGGTTTTTGTGTAGATTTAGAGTTCTTGATTACACATTACACTGTATGTTACCTGCAGGTTTTGGTATGTGTGTAGTTTCAGAGTTCTTGATTACACATTACACTGTATGTTACCTGCAGGTTTTGGTATGTGTGTAGTTTCAGAGTTCTTGAATACATATTAAACTGTATGTTACCTGCAAGTTGTGGCATATATGTAGTTTCAGAGTTCTTGAATACATATTAAACTGTATGTTACCTGCAAGTTGTGGTATGTGTGTAGAGTCAGAATTCTTGAATACATATTAAACTATGTTACCTGCAAGTTGTGGAAAATTTCTAGATTTTTAAGTTCTTGATTACACATGAAACTATGTTTGGGAGCCAGCATGGTGTAGTAGCTAGATGCTTACCTGCAGATCAGAAAGTTTTGGGTCCAGGTCATGATGGAACCGGACTTTTTGTTTCCAAAAATAACCTTAGCCCCCAGGTCGACCCAGCCGTGAATGGCTCCCAGGTCGACCCAGCCGTGAATGGCTCCCAGGTCGACCAAGCCGTGAATGGTCCCCAGGTCGACCCAGTCGTAAATGGCTAACAGATACAATCCTGTGATGGTTGCCTGTGTGGTGTTCACCACGTCACCCACCCAGTGCAGCTGATATAGAGAATACAGGTCTAGCCCGATGTGCCCAATACAGCTAAAGGCATGGAAAAGAATCCTTTTCTTTACTTCACACTATATGTACTTTCTCTCATTTGCTGACTTTCACTTCTCTCTAGTCTCTTTCTCACCCACACTCACAACTCATTCCACAAGCAACAATGTTGCATATGACTCCAGTAATGTAACTATCTCACCTAATGCCATATCCTTCATGACAGGAGAACCTTCCACCAGTTGAAGAACCAAAACCCAGTAATCCGGTCTCTCAAGATCCTAGATATGCCAAGTATTTTAAAATGCTACAATATGTAAGTATATCTGACACATTACAGTATGTAAGTATATCTGACATATTACAGTATGTAAGTATATCTGACACATTACAATATGTAAGTATATCTGACACATTACAGTGTGTAAGTATATCTGACATATTACAGTGTGTAAGTATATCTGACACATTACAGTGTGTAAGTATTTCTGACACATTACAGTGTGTAAGTATAACTGACACATTACAGTGTGTAAGTATATCTGACATATTACAGTGTGTAAGTATATCTGACATATTACAGTGTGTAAGTATATCTGACATATTACAGTGTGTAAGTATATCTGACATATTACAGTGTGTAAGTATATCTGACATATTACAGTGTGTAAGTATATCTGACACATTACAGTATGTAAGTATATCTGACACATTACAGTATGTAAGTATATCTGACATATTACAGTGTGTAAGTATATCTGACACATTACAGTATGTAAGTATATCTGACACATTACAGTATGTAAGTATATCTGACACATTACAGTGTGTAAGTATATCTGACATATTACAGTGTGTAAGTATAACTGACACATTACAGTGTGTAAGTATATCTGACATATTACAGTGTGTAAGTATATCTGACACATTACAGTGTGTAAGTATATCTGACACATTACAGTGTGTAAGTATAACTGACACATTACAGTGTGTAAGTATATCTGACATATTACAGTGTGTAAGTATATCTGACATATTACAGTGTGTAAGTATATCTGACACATTACAGTGTGTAAGTATATCTGACACATTACAGTGTGTAAGTATATCTGACACATTACAGTGTGTAAGTATATCTGACACATTACAGGGTGTAAGTATATCTGACATATTACAGTGTGTAAGTATATCTGACATATTACAGTGTGTAAGTATATCTGACATATTACAGTGTGTAAGTATATCTGACATATTACAGTGTGTAAGTATAACTGACACATTACAGTGTGTGAGTATATCTGACACATTACAGTGTGTAAGTATATCTGACATATTACAGTGTGTAAGTATATCTGACATATTACAGTGTGTAAGTTCATTTGACACTAAATATGTTATGACAGTATGATGTCATCCATGCCTTTGAATTGGCTCTGTGATTCACACACAATTTTGTCATACCTTTGAAACTACAAGGATTTTCAAATTCCCCAGTCATGAATAATTTCATTTTTCATTATCATCCATATTGCAACACACAAGCACTGTTATTCTTTCTTTGGATTTGTACCCCACCATGACACTTTTCATTTTCGAAGGAAAATATTTTATCAGGTGACAGTCTCCAGAATAAGCCAGTTTCATCGGCTTTAAAAATACATCCACATAATTATTTTTATCCAAAGCAGGTTTAAGCACATCATATGTGCAAGAATTAGTGGTTGCTTCATCAACAGATTGTTTCTCTTCACACACACTCTTGTATATTATGCAATGGCGTTTTTTGAAACAATTGAACCAGCCAGCACTACATGTCCAGTCTGTCTGACCCCCAAGACGTGCAAATTTCTCTCTTTTTGCCTTAATTAATGGCACATTCAGGGGTACATTTGCCCATCTAAGCTCAGTGAACCATTTTAAAAGGGCAACATCAACAAAATGGCATAGCGCTTTTTTAGATCTATGTCTGTCCCTGTTGATTTTACACTCGGAAAACAATGTTCTGTAGCGTTCCTTATGCTTTAAAATGCCAGAAAGAATCGAACTTGGAATACAAAGTTCCCTAGCTATATCCACTTTCGTCTTCCCACTATGTTTAATCCATTCTAAAAGTTCAGTCTTTTTTTTTTAAGTTAAAGTCGGTTTTCAATCGCCAGCCGCCAATGTGAATACTGTGTGTAGCGAGATATCGTAGCTGCCAAATTTCACATTATTTCCCAGGCTGACTAAAAAAATTTTTTTGATGAAATGAATTTTTCTTGCATAGTTTTTTGTTCTTCTTCTTTTCTTAGCTTGAAATAGATTATCTATATCTGCAATTTTGTCTCTAGTTGGAAATTCACTGTCTTTTGTAATTCACTCAGCGACCCATAAAGTTTGGCCTGCACCCTTGTTTCTCTTGGCCAAAAGTTTTACCTTGATGTGTTGTATTTTGTACAGTTCTTACATAGTGATAATGAACAGTTTGTCTTAAACAAGGGACGTGTATATAGTCGGAATTTATTTTTAGATTTGCTTATCCAAATATTTGAGACAACCGAATTCAACTTAACAGGATTTTATATAGAAAGATGAAGAAGGAAAATGGTCGGGACTAAGCTGGTCATGTCAACTTAAGCAAAATTTGTCTTATCAGAGTTCGACTTAAGTGGACCCAACTGTGAAGTCTGTCTAATTGTAGTCTATTCTGTTATTTATGTTTGGCATTTTTGTTTTGTTTTTTGACTAGGGTGTTCCACCTCCTGTTGTGAAGGGAAAAATGGCAATGGACGGACTCAGCCCCGATATGCTAGAGTAAGTAGGCATTGTACAGATTGGCTTGTTAGAGCTGAACAGTTATTTAAAGAGAGTTATCAGATACTGCCTTAGATGTTTGAAGACAGTTGCTATAGTACAAGACTGGAGACAACACAGGAGATGGGTGCTATAGTACAAGACTGGGGACATCACAGAAAACAGGTGCTATAGTACAAGACTGGGGACATCACAGAAGACAGGTGCTATAGTACAAGACTGGGGACATCACAGAAAAAACATGCTATAGTACAAGACTGGGGACATCACAGAAGACATGTGCTATAGTACAAGACTGGGGACATCACAGAGGACAGGTGTTATAGTACAAGACTGAGGACATCACAGAAAACAGGTGCCATATTACAAGACTGAGGACAACACAGAAGTCAGGTGCTATAGTATAAGACTGGGGACATCACAGAAGACAGTTGCTATAGTACAAGATTAGGGACATCACAGAAGACAGGTGTTATAGTACAAGACTGGGGACATCACAGAAGACAGTTACTATAGTACAAGACTGGGGACATCTCAGAAAACAGGTGCTGTAGTACAAGACTGGGGACATCACAGAAAACAGGTGCTATAGTACAAGACTGGGGACATCACAGAAGACAGGTGCTATAGTACAAGACTGGAGACATCACAGAAGACAGGTGCTATAGTACAAGACTGGGGACATCACAGAAGACAGGTGCTATAGTACAAGACTGGGGACATCAAGAAGACAAGTGCTATAGTACAAAACTGGGGACAACACAGAAGACAGGTGCTGTAGTACAAAACTGGGGACATCACAGAAGACAGGTGTTATAGTACAAGACTGGAGACATCACAGAAGACAGTTGCTATAGTACAAGACTGGGGCTATCACAGAAAACAGGTGCTATAGTACAAGACTGGGGACATCACAGAAGACAGGTGCTATAGTACAAGACTGGGGACATCAAGAAGACAAGTGCTATAGTACAAAACTGGGTACAACACAGAAGGCAGGTGCTGTAGTACAAAACTGGGGACTTCACAGAAGACAGTTGCTATAGTACAAGACTGGGGCTATCACAGAAAACAGGTGCTATAGTACAAGACTGGGGACATCACAGAAGACAGGTGCTATATTACAAGACTGGGGACATCAAGAAGACAAGTGCTATAGTACAAAACTGGGGACAACACAGAAGACAGGTGCTGTAGTACAAAACTGGGAACATCACAGAAGACAGGTGCTATAGTACAAGACTGGAGACATCACAGAAGACAGTTGCTATAGTACAAGACTGGGGCTATCACAGAAAACAGGTGCTAAAGTACAAGACTGAGGACATCACAGAAAACAGGTGCTATAGTACAAGACTGGGGACATCACAGAAAACTGATGCTATAGTACAAGACTGGGGACATCACAGAAAACAGGCGCTATAGTACAAGACTGGGGACATCACAGAAGACAGGTGCTATAGTACAAGACTGGGGACATCACAGAAAACACATGCTATAGTACAAGACTGGGGACATCACAGAAGACATGTGCTATAGTACAAGACTGGGACATCACAGAAGACAGGTGTTATCGTACAAGACTGAGGACATCACAGAAAACAGGTGCCATAGTACAAGACTAAGGACAACACAGAAGTCAGGTGCTATAGTATAAGACTGGGGACATCACAGAAGATAGTTGCTATAGTACAAGATTAGGGACATCACAGAAGACAAGTGTTATAGTACAAGACTGGAGACATCACACAAGACAGTTACTATAGTACAAGACTGGGGACATCTCAGAAAACAGGTGCTGTAGTACAAGACTGGGGACATCACAGAAAACAGGTGCTATAGTACAAGACTGGGGACATCACAGAAGACAGGTGCTATAGTACAAGACTGGAGACATCACAGAAGACAGGTGCTATAGTACAAGACTGGGGACATCACAGAAAACAGGTGCTATAGTACAAGACTGGGGACATCAAGAAGACAAGTGCTATAGTACAAAACTGGGGACAACACAGAAGACAGGTGCTATAGTACAAGACTGGAGACATCAAAGAAGACAGTTGCTATAGTACAAGACTTGGGCTATCACAGAAAACAGGTGCTATAGTACAAGACTGGGGACATCACAGAAAACAGGTGCTATAGTACAAGACTGGAGACATCACAGAAAACAGGTGTTATAGTACAAGACTGGGAACATCACAGAAGACGGTGGCTATAGTACAAGTCTGGCGACATTACAGAAAACAGGTGCTATAGTACAAGACTGTGTGCATCACAGAAACAGGTGCTATAGTACAAGACTGGGGACATCACAGAAATCAGGTGCTATAGTACAAGACTGGAGACATCACAGAAGACAGGTGCTATAGTACAAGACTGGGGACATCACAGAAGACAGTTGCTATAGTACAAGACTAGGGACATCACAGAAAACATGTGCTATAGTACAAGACTGGGGAAATCAAGAAGACAGGTGCTATAGTATCAAACTGGGAACATCACTGAAGACAGGTGCTATAGTACAAGACTGGGGACATCACAGAAAACATGTGCTATAGTACAAGACTGGGGACATCACAGAAAACAGGCGCTATAGTACAAGACTGGGGACATCACAGAAGACAGGTGCTATAGTACAAGACTGGGGACATCACAGAAAACACATGCTATAGTACAAGACTGGGGACATCACAGAAGACATGTGCTATAGTACAAGACTGGGACATCACAGAAGACAGGTGTTATCATACAAGACTGAGGACATCACAGAAAACAGGTGCCATAGTACAAGACTAAGGACAACACAGAAGTCAGGTGCTATAGTATAAGACTGGGGACATCACAGAAGATAGTTGCTATAGTACAAGATTAGGGACATCACAGAAAACAGGTGTTATAGTACAAGACTGGAGACATCACAGAAGACAGTTACTATAGTACAAGACTGGGGACATCTCAGAAAACAGGTGCTGTAGTACAAGACTGGGGACATCACAGAAAACAGGTGCTATAGTACAAGACTGGGGACATCACAGAAGACAGGTGCTATAGTACAAGACTGGAGACATCACAGAAGACAGGTGCTATAGTACAAGACTGGGGACATCACAGAAAACAGGTGCTATAGTACAAGACTGGGGACATCAAGAAGACAAGTGCTATAGTACAAAACTGGGGACAACACAGAAGACAGGTGCTGTAGTACAAAACTGGGGACATCACAGAAGACAGGTGCTATAGTACAAGACTGGAGACATCAAAGAAGACAGTTGCTATAGTACAAGACTTGGGCTATCACAGAAAACAGGTGCTATAGTACAAGACTGGGGACATCACAGAAAACAGGTGCTATAGTACAAGACTGGAGACATCACAGAAAACAGGTGTTATAGTACAAGCTGGGAACATCACAGAAGACGGTGGCTATAGTACAAGTCTGGCGACATTACAGAAAACAGGTGCTATAGTACAAGACTGGAGACATCACAGAAGACAGGTGCTATAGTACAAGACTGGGGACATCACAGAAGACAGTTGCTATAGTACAAGACTAGGGACATCACAGAAAACATGTGCTATAGTACAAGACTGGGGAAATCAAGAAGACAGGTGCTATAGTATCAAACTGGGAACATCACTGAAGACAGGTGCTATAGTACAAGACTGGGGACATCACAGAAAACATGTGCTATAGTACAAGACTGGGGACATCACAGAAAACAGGTGCTATAGTACAAGACTGGGGACATCACAGAAAACAGGTGCTATATTACACGACTGGGGACATAACGGAAGAATCTCCTAGAGTAAAGACTGGGGGTGTCACAGAAGACAGGTGCTAGAGCACAAGATGGAAATCACAGAAGACAGATGCTGTTTTGCAAGAGAGAGACATCATAGAAATAGACAGGTACTATAGTATATCACAGGTGAAGAAAGGTGCTGTTGTACCAGTTTACTGCCAGACTATAGTGCCATCTTTTTTCATGTAGAAGTTCTCTGATTGTAGTCACTTGCTGCAAACATTGGTGGAAATTCCTGACTGTTCATTCATTTCTGGACTTTGGCTGTGTTCCAAGACTTGAGTTTTGCATATGCATCCATTTTACAGATGTGTGCAGTCTGTTGGTTCCTTGCCTATCGAGCTGAGGCAATCTGACTTTAAAAGAAATGTTGATTCTATCACAAGGATGACTAGCCAGTCTGAACCTTTTGTTGCCATTGAGTAGGAGACTCAGTGGAAAGACATCTGAGCTTGGTTTATTTAGTAGGAGACTCAGTGGAAAGACATCTGAGCTTGGGTTATTGAGTAGGAGACTCAGTGGAAAGACATCTGAGCTTGGTTTATTTAGTAGGAGGCTCGAGCTGTGAACCTCACCCATTGTACAGTGGATTCTCTATAGATATTGTCACCCATGCATTGGGGTGGGCTAATGAGAAGTTGTCAGGGCACTGCATCTCTGGGGGTCACCAGCTGTGAGATCTCTTGCTATTTCTGTTATGCCAATGAGGCCATTATCCCAGGACCAGGACAAGTGGCAGAAGTCTTGCATCAAAATAAAACCAACTTAGTGAATACTAGCATCTGAGTTTAAGTACAGGGTTAACACTTATACACCTTGCAATGGATTTAACACTCCCTCATGTCAAATTCACTGCACCCCTAGAAGTTTTCTTTCATTTGAAGATTATTCCAAACACAGAACTCTCTACAGTTTCAGATCTGTGCCATGTTTAGGCATGTTATTATTGCTTTGTCATTTTCTATTCTAGTATTGTTCCAATGGCTGAATGTCTACTCTGTGGGTACACACATGGCTGAATGTCTACTCTGTGGGTACACACATGGCTGAATGTCTACTCTGTGGGTACACACATGGCTGAATGTCTACTCTGTGGGTACACACATGGCTGAATGTCTACTCTGTGGGTACACACATGGCTGAATGTCTACTCTGTGGGTACACACATGGCTGAATGTCTACTCTGTGGGTACAGACA